ATAGGCTGAGCGAATGGTATATATTTAAAGGTAGAAGCATGATCTGTCAAGGCGTTCGTTATTATCTTTTTCAAGATAAAGATCTAAGCCCTCATAAAAATCAGAAATATCTCGAGCCTTCAAATTGTATATTGCTGTTCCTGCAGAATGGGGCGATTCACCTTAGTGACCACCACCATATCTACTGATCAGCTAACGCCACCCTCCCTCCTTTTTGTAAACACAAGATAAAGAGTGTTATCCATTCTGGTCGGGAAGTTGACAATATTATAGTGTCCAAGTGAAATTAAGAAGCTGTGATCACTAGAATTGAAATCACCAATAACTATAGGCAAGGAATTTCCGAAGGAGATGGCAGCAGGGGAAGTAAATTCATCCGCAAATAAAGATTATTCTGTGGAGTTGCATCCAGGAGCAATATACATGTTCGAGATGTAAATGTAGTTGTATTTTGACAAATATTTAGGTCGACACTTGATGATGGAGTAGTCAATATTATCACCAGAGAATTTGAAACATACATTGTTGGACATACACTGTTGGAAAGGCATCGATCTTGTCTGAATAATTTGAAACCATTCAGATACACTAGACTGTCATCATACATATCATGTAGCCATGTTTCATGAAGTGATATGATCCCAGTATTACGATGTATAATGGAAGACACAAGTGGTTGAAGACAGTTAATTTTAGCTGGCAGGGAGCGACAATTAGTACTCATAATTGCGGGAACAGTCATGAATTGAATAAAGGTATTTTTTAAGGCTCTTTGCCACCCGGCGTGATGCTTTTTCTGTCTCTTTATGGAATTGCAGATCAGTAGGTTTTAGGGATATTAAATAGTCACGAGAAAAATAATTCGGTTATAGGTCATATTTGAATAAGATTTAATAATAATAATATATATTTCACATAAATTAAGCATTTACATGATTCACATACCGTTTGTAGAGGCATGGTCATATTAGACAAGTGCAGTATGAAACTGAACACTGTTTAATTTAAAATGAATTGGAAATGAGAAATTAGATGCAATATGATTTGTAATGCTTAAGGTATTTGGTAGCCCAAGAATTAAGCAGGTCACCCAGGTCATTAAATTTTTTTATTTATATTTATTTCTGAAAGAGGAGTTAAACACAGCCGTCACAGTGCGTATAATGCGTAGAGGAAAGGCGACGACCTAATAATATCTACTGTTTTTCTAATTTATACACTTAGGTGTTTTTCAGAAGTAGCGAACTGATGCTATGTACATGCATTCAGGGCGTTTATATTTGAACTCCGGCTTTTACGCAGTTTCCAAATTCCGTTTCTTTTTTTGCTATTCATTCATTTTGCAGGAGTCATTCAAACTCGGGAGCCTTAGCAACAGATTGCTGTCCCGCAGATAGGGTGGTTCTCATATGTCCCCACCATCATATCCCTTAAATAGCAATCACCACAATCCCACCTTTTAATGTGCAAGGCCCTGTCGAAATATTTCTCTTCATACTCCCATGTTCACATCGAAGAATCCCGTAAGTTTCCCGTTGAGGATTCCTTGGTATGTAGCGTTGTCGTACAACTGTTGGACGAGTTGTTTAATTGATGGCGGCACCTCGTGGTAGCGAAGAAGTTGCCAAATCACCTTTTGATCGACACTGTCGAAGGTCTTTTCAAAGTCAGTGAAGTTGAGATGGAGAGGCGGCTACCATTCCGTGCTATTTTCAGTGGTAATACGTAGTGTTGCGATTTGACCAATGCATGACCTGTTTCTTCTGAATCCGACCTGTTCCTGTCAAAATTCATCATCATGTGTGTATTTTTATTCCGTCCAGGATGATGCGGCCCGGCATTTTGCTTAGGATGATGACTTGCCCTCTTTCTACACCTTCTTCAGTAATGGCGTCATCAAGTCCGCTGTTGTCTCTGGGTCATTTTCAGTGTCCCTGCTGGGATTCCGTCTGGTCCTCTCGCTTTTCCAGCTTTTAGCATCTTGATTGCGTTCAGGACTTCTGATTTCGTCGAGCGGTCGATGTTCACTGGAAGTTCTGCTTCTGTTGTTGGTATTGTTGGGCGCGTTGTAGGTGGTGGTCGATTTAGGAGTATTTTGAAGTGTTCAGCCCAGTGTTTCCTCTGCTCCACTTCTTTGGTGATTGACCTTCCATTGTCACTCTTCACTGGCGTAATTTGTGTCGAACGTTTCCCCGTTGTTTGGTAGAGTGTGGCGAGGTCTCCTCTGCCTGCAGCTTGTTCTGCTCCACTTGCCATGGCTTCATAATATTTTCTTTTTTCCTCCTTGGCACTCTTCTTTACTCTTTTGTTCAGTGTATTGTAGCTGGCATTCAACCGCTGTTTTTGTCGCTCTACAGTGCACCGGATAATCTTTTGTTCCACTATCCTCCTCTGTTCTGTCAGTCTCCATGTGTCCATAATGAGCCAGTGTTTGTCCTGTCTCTTCTCTCTGCCTAGGACTTCCATGCAGGTTTGACTACATATCGCTTGCAGGTCGTCCCAGTTCTTCTCAACGGTGACATCTTCATTATTGTTGATTTGTGTCCTCGCCTTTTTTATTTTTGCAGTGAAGATGTCTTTTTTCGGCCTGGTCCTTCGGTTTTTGAGTGTTGAACTTGGCTTGTTATCTGTCTGCAGCTTCCGTTTCTTTGAAAGCTTTCAATTTGATTTGGAGTGTTCCTTCCACGAGATAGTGTTCTGTGTCAATGTCCACTCCTCTTCTTATTATTGTGTCCAATATGCTGCGTCTCCACCTCCCTGAGCAGCATTGAGATGAAATCACTCTGGTGTTTGGTTCGCCCATCTGGTGACATCCATGTAACCTCGTAGATATTCTTGTGCTTGTATACGCTGCCATCAGTCACTAGTTTAATAAAAGCGCAGAAGTCAGCAAAGAGTTCTTCGTTTTTATTCATCCCTCCGAGAGTTGTCTACTCATGACGAGCTCTCTATGTTGGCTGGTCCCACTTTGGTGCTCATGTCGCCCTTAGGATTTTAATTTCACTGGCTGGAGTACAGTCCATTGTTGCCTGTAGTTGCCCGCAGAACTTTTCTAGGTCTTTGTTGTTTTTAGGTGCATAGCGTTGTATAATTGTCACTCTGTTCCATTTTTAGTTGAGTCGGGTGGTGATCATCGTGGGCGGGACCGCCTTCCATTGTATCAGAGCCTTCGTTGCCATTGGCGGCATCATGATGGCCACACTCCCAGGTGTGCTTGCGTTGGTCTTCTGGGTGGCCAGAGTAGATAGCTGACTATCCCGTAGAAAATTTGGTGTGATCCCTCCCACTGCATTTGCCTTCACATATTCCCAGTGCTTCAATACCATGCTTCTTCAGCTCATCTGAGCAACGTTGCTGGTTTCACATATGGTGAGGACGTTCCATGTCCTCACGCATTCTTTTTCATTTGTTGGGAGGAGACTGATAGCAATGGAGTTTACGTTACCGCTTTGTTTACAGGGTGGGGTTACTAGCGTCACGCCCGATCAGGAAGTTGTTACATAAATGTGTAAGTTACAGAGGAGCGACTTTTTGGGTTGCTGCCTTTATAATGAGGAAAATAAAAGTAAAGCAACCAGAACAACAACAGCAAAAAACCACAACAGGACAGGTAGCGGTAACAACACCAAAAACCGTCGCAGTAATATGTGTTAAATACAATCACCAAGAATTATATTACAACCATAGACTCAGTGAATTGGGTCAACATGGGCATGTAAATCCAATAACAGTTACAGACATTAGTTAGTGTTAAACGGTCACAAAATGCCAAACAGTTAGTTATAGGTATTAATAGTCAACAAGATCATATCCAAAAATTTAATGTTTGCAGGTAAACGTATTACAATAAATGCAACAACTTCCTGGCCAGAAACACCACAGAAGTGGGAGTTTTATGTAACTAAGTAAATGCAACGGACTAATAAAAAAAACGGATCAATCACAACATCAATAAAGTTGAGATATTTTTTATAAAGTGAATCCACATAACCCACATTACACTGCACCAATCCCTTGGATTATAAATTGAATATACCAATAGGTAACCTATTAACTTACTATAATTCCTGTCCAAACCGACAGAAGTTAAAAAACGCATTTACAACATATTTCTGTTTTCACAGAGGGTTCCATTAGCATGGATAGGTGGTTTTCACGTAGTGACAGCATTCATCTGTCAAGCAATAATATGCTATTCACGAAAATAGGCCATGTTGATATCCCGAGACACGTGAATTCTTCAATGAATAATACTATGCCAAAAAGTATATCTTCTACATGAAGTAGACCATTTCTGCAGGTGACATAACAATAACATAAATAAGGAAAATATAAGTCATCCACAGTTATACAATATAAAGAGGGGACATCTGAGACCCTACGTAGGATTCTGAATAAAATAGGAATTAGGGTGGCATTTAAACCTACAAACTCACTCAGGGACAAGCTCTGTAGGTTAAAGGACCCAGTTGACCCAATTAGACAAAATAATATTATTTACAAAATACCATGCAATGACTGTGAGGTCAACTACATAGGTCAAACTAGTAGGTCAGGGGTAGTCAGATTGTCAGAGCATAAGAATTTAGCAAAGGTAAGAATGGTTGACCCTGAAAAGTTAAGTGATTTAGAAAAAAGCTCAGCAATTGCAATGCATGCGCTAACACACAACCACACAATAGGGTGGGAGAGGGTTAAAATTCTAAAAAGTAATCTAGGTAGGTGGAGAGAGAGGTTGATTACTGAATCCTTGTTCATCGAGTCTACACCCAACACATGCAATAGGAATGACTCGTCACTCATACCTGAAATATGGAAAATACTATTACCAATCAAATCAAGTGAAAATCAAGAGAAAAACAATGGAACTATATAAATAAATTTAGGAAGTCGTGTGATTACCTTGATATGATTATGAGCAATAAATTGTGCTCGAAACGTCATCAGTAAACATTACTGTATAACACTGTGAGACTTTATTAAAACAAAATTTTCCCATAATGGAATTTACATAAACCTATTGAAAACTAATGTTCAATTATACCATGATAAATATTCGGTGGCCATACGTAGAATTAGTTTCTGTAAAAATATACTATGGAAACATGAATTAGTGTCATAAGCGTTCAATTTTAGTTCATAGAGGGGGCACTACGAGCCCAACAAAATTATTTTCGTTTATACTACCTGGTAAAATGCATATTGTTTTTTGGACATTACTGCGGCTTTATAACGTTAAGCGGTACTTCAGTTGTTATTGGTACGCGTGTATGATTAACTGTTTTATCCAAATAATTTTAATGAAGTAAACATTTTTGGGTACAGTTTTGCTGCAAGAAAATGAATGTAACCTTGAGGGAATGAGCCAGGGGAGTTAAAAAGATAATGTGGCGAAGTTTTACCTTTATTTACTGAAAAATAGTAATATCGCGAAGTTACAAAATAATTCCAAGTACTTGTTTAATTGCATACTTATCAATTTTAACCTCAATCGTAGATAGGACCGGACTAGATGGGTTTCTGCCTTTTTGGATTGATATTATAAGGATACCCAGCTAGCAACGATTTCGGGAGCAATTGCTCCCGCAGATGAAATGGATATGGATTATCAAAATTGTCAACTGGAGAGTTAGTAATCTACTCCAGTCACCCAGATGACAATCACTAACACACTGAGGGAGTTGCTTTAATGATGTCACCAGTGGCAGCCAAAGCCCTAATGCAATGGGAACCAATATCATCCAGGATCATGACAGCAAGTTCAAGAGGAAGTAAGGAAATAACAATTATCCAATGCTACGCACAGTGCTACAAACAACGCGGAACAAGAAAGGGGGATTTTTACATACAGCTACAAGCAGTAATGGACAATATTCCAAATGGTGACCTCAAAATCCTCATGAGCCATATGAATGTCAACCTAACTGGGGGCAGATAATACAGGAAGAGAACTCATCATGGGTCGAGAGGATCTTGCGCAGAGAAATGAATGAGAACGGAAAATTATTAGCAGATTTCTGCTCTTTCAACGATTTGGTAATCGGAGGGAGCGTGTATAAACACAAGGATATACACAAAGCAATATGGATTTCGCCTGACGGATATACCACAAACCAAATCAATCTCAAGGAGGTGAAGACGCAGCCTGCTGAATACAAATGTGATTTCATCCCTGAAGTAGTTTTTCCAGGTTTCCATTCACTGTACCTCAATTATATACTTAGTGTTATAAATCGTAGTCGGACTGATGCTTTCTTCTATATGGCTTCGTGACCTTGATAAAGTTTCAGAATTTTTCTATACGTTCAAGGCAACTAGGTAATACTTATTCTAATTGCCGATTTTACAAACTAATTATTGAAACATTGATTTTATGTTCACTGTTTATTATACATTCGTAATCTAAATACCATTTGTTATGTTTATATAAAGGGTTCAAGTTCAGCTTTTGTTGATAACTTTTTTTGTTAAGTATTACCTGTCATTTCTACTTATTTTACGCTGATAAATAGTTAAGCTATGTCAAATTTTTTGTGTCACTTTATTTATATGCATCACTTCAGATTTACGCTTAGGAAAATCCGTGGTTTACCCGCAAACTGACTGTTGGTGTTTCAGTTTACTTGTGTGGTTTCTTTCATATAGCACAAACATATTGTTAGCAGTTTGACCAAAAGGCGTTTGGTTTGATTTAACATCCAATTCCAACAGTTGTGCCTCGATTTACGTTTTCGTCCCACCCGAACTTCTGAATTCGGTGGACATTCTGTCGATTATTATCATAAGAAGAATTATCATAGGAAGACATTTGCCTATAAAAATAACAGTTAACTTGTTTTCTGAACTTCGTATACTTTGTGCTTTAAAAAAAACAGTGTTTTGTATTAAGATGCTGGCAATAAAATGGAAACTGTAGCGCTTCCAGGCAATCCATTATTTTCCTAGACTAATGCTTCTGCCACTCTGTAAATTGATGGTTATAATTGTTATTTGCTTATAAGTTATCTTAAGGGTAACTCAAGAAATTGTGCGTTTGGGGTTTCGTGTTTTAAATTTTTTTCTACGGGATTTATGACAAACACCTGGGAGATCGATGCAGAAGATATTTACAAAAGTGGAGCAACGTTAGGACCAGGTTGCAAAAGATTTGGAAGTGATCAAGTCAAAACCCTATTTGATTGGTTGGAGGATTTCATCGTGAGCTGACATCAGTTAGAGAACCACTAGAAAACCAGTGAGTACTAGAAAGCTGTTTCGTCCTAGTTTGGGACTCCTCGAACTGTTCGAACCCGGGTGGGTGCGTACTGATGAAGAGTTCCAAACTAGGACGAAACAGCTTTCTACTACTTCCAGGTTTTCTAGTGGTTCTGTAACTGATATCAGCTCATGATGAAATCCTCAATCCAATCAAACTAAAAATCCCTACAAAACCAATACTTGAAAAAACCCTATTTATCATTTTTGAAACAAACTTGGTACATTATGGGCACTAAGAGATACTCCACACCATATCTCATAGTTTGTTTGAGGGATTGGATGCTGCTTAGGCACGATCCGTTAGTTCTTTAATTGTTGGTTTCAGCCACATATGGAGTTGTAGGATTGCCTGGTGTCCCCAAGACGCTAATATCCAATGTCTCAAAATCTTACTCACTGGCTGAGATGCATTCGTTCATCATAATCTCCGAAACCCACTAAATTCTTATTATTCTCCATATACTTATATCCATTCGATATAGCTCCAATGGGTTTCTTTCTTTGTGTGCTATATGGAATGTAGGTGCACTTTGCGTGATTCTATGTTGACCCCCTCATATTCTTGGCAACAGTTTGTTAGTACTTAGCATCTGCATAGGCAAATGCAAATTTTATTCGTGGGATGATGCAGCGTTGTCTGTCTGTCTGTCTGTTTTCGACATAGAACTTTGCACAAATGTGCGGAAGTTCAAGTTGCCACACTCCGTGTAGCACGCGAAGCAAGAGAAGAAAGTACAAGAAGAGCATAATAGAGACAGTTAGCAGAGGTGTGAGACAAAGGAGTAATAACGGAGAACAAAACAGTTTCATTGGAGATCATAAGTCACAAGGAGTGGATGCATCTGCGCCACTGAGAACGATTTTGAGCCATGTCACTAATTGTTTCCAACCATAGATTTTTAACCGTCCTGAGGACCCCAGCCTGGAAGTCTACACCTTCCTACGTGGCTTAGACCAACTGCTGTGGATTTCATTGACTGGTGCCATGTTTTTGTTTGACCGCCACTAGCTCTTTTCCAGCCTGACCCTATATCCGCTAACATTGCTCTTCGAGGGAGGCAATGGCTTGGCATACGTAACACATGTCCTAACCATCTCAGTCTTTGTAACTTCACGACTTCGTCGATTGATTTCCCCTGTTTACCTAGAACTCGACGCCTAACCTCAATATTGCTCACCTTATTATGCCACTTTACACGGGAAATAGAGCGCAGTCACCTATGATCAAAGACGGCTAGTCTTTTCATGTCTTCCACTCTCAGTGGCCAGGTCTCACAACCATAAAGGAGAACAGAGCAGACTGATGAGCAGTACACCCGCCCTTTGGTCGATAGTCGAACATCTCGTCTACGCCAGAGTCGGCGCAAACTGGCAAATGCGAAACGATCAGCGTTGACTTATAACCGATATGAGGTGTGTTCGTCTCAGATTTTTGTATAGTATACATCCACTCTTCGTCATCAAAATCGTGATATCCCACTGTTGACCAAAGGACGCGTGTACTCCTCAGCAACTCGCTCTATCCTCCTTTATAGCTGTGAGACCTCGCCACTGAAAGCGGAAGGCTTAAAAAGACTAGCTGTCTTTGATCATAGATGTCTGTGTTCTATCTCCCGTGTTAGGTGGCTTAATAGAGTGAATGATTTTGAGTTTAAGCGTAGAGTGCTAGGTAAGGAGAGGAAATCAATTGACGAGGTTTTGAAATTACATCGAATGAGGTGGTTGGGACACGTGTTACGCGTGACTAGCCATCACCTCTGACAACAAGCAATGTTAGCTGACATAGGACCAGGTTGGAAAAGCGTTATTGTTGGTCAAATCAGAACATGGCACCAGTCAGTGAAATCCATAACAGTTAGTTTAAGCCAACCGCATAAGGAGGTGTAGACTGCTGTCTGGAGTCCTCTGGATGGTAAGAACCAGTGGCTGGAGACTATTGATGGTATGGATTGAAATTGTTCACAGTGGTGCAGATGCATTCACCCTCTGTTACTTGTCATACCCAATAGAGCTCTATCATTCTCCCATATTACTGTTCTTTTTTCCTCACACTTGTGTTTATTATCTCTCTTTCGAACCTCTCTTTACTCTCTTCTCTTGCTCTGTGCTACATGGGGTGTGGCAACTTGAACTGTTTTATTTCTGTGCAAAGTTCTACGTTGGAACCAGTCAGCCGTCTTCAAAATCCTCATTTTTATTTAATAGTTTTTGCTAACTATTCTGGAAATGCACTCACAAACATAACCGTATTCGTGAGTATAATTCTGGAAACACGTGAATATCGGATTATGTAAGGAGCTATAGATTTCGAACTTCTAGGACACCATGGGCCTTTTTACATCTTTTGTTTTATGTTTGAATAATTTTGCGTTTGTAGACACTAATTTTAAAAACTTTTTGTTTTCAGAAGGTTATCCTAATGCATAAGGTTCAGAAAGTTGTGTCTCAAGTCTACATGGTTAAAAGGATTGAGTTTTAATGTTCCGCCTGGTTCGAAGTTCGACATTCATTAAAAGGATATTTATAAGTAGTTCCTTATTATATTTAAATCCATGTCAACTCTACTAGATACTGTTGTGTTATCAAAAATGGAAAGCTCACACACACCTATTACTATAGATTTGACATCGTTCCCTGAATTGTACACAGAAGAGAATATTGCACTGCATGGGATTTTTAAAAAGTATGGTTTCGATATACGTATAGCAGGTGGTGCAGTTCGTGATATCCTATTGGGCGTTTCTCCGCATGACATCGATTTTGCGACGGATGCTACACCAACTCAGATGTGTGAGATGTTTACCAATGAAGGCATAAGAATGCTAAACAAAAATGGAGAGTCCCATGGAACAGTTACAGCTCGAATTAATGATAAAGTTGAGTGTTGTTGATTGTAAATTCTTCTAAACAATGTCATTGATATTTTCCTAGTATTATTTGTGGTAAATATAGTTAACACTTTAACTCGACTTGTGAAATGCATCTACACTTGATGTGTTAATATTTCGTATGGTGTATCGTAACTGACTTCAATGGTTTGAATTAATGCTGTCTGTTCGTTCTAACTTTAACGGGTGGTTACTATTTTATTATCAGTCGTTATAATTAACACAATTGACAAGATGAATATTATCAACGTAATACTTCACAGAATGGGAAAATTGAGATTCGATACTTATTTACTGTAATAATTACTCTTAGGATTGAAGTTTAGTAGGAGTCTGATGGTGTTTAGCAGTGAAGTCCATGTTGTGCATTTGGACTTATTTGGGGCTCGTCATCTGAATTTACGTGCATTCCCACTGAAATTCGAATCTTTCGTCCAAGCATTTCGGTCCAATTTAGTCAATCAAAAGGAAGTGCAAATTTACCTAAAAGCGTCGTTGGTACAGTGGTTAGAACTCTCGCCGACCATGCACATGGTCTGGGGTTCCACCCCCTACCGACGCACACCTGATATCAATGGTCGGACTGCAAAATTTGGGCTACCGATATCATATGCTGAAAATTCCATACTTGTACCAAAAATACGGCTATAATCAAAATAAAAAAAATAAATAATATCGTTTGGATTTTCGATAATTTAATGTATCAGTTTATATGGTTGTGTTATTCTGGATTTTTTTCATATCATTGTTACGTGATATTCTACTTTTCTACTTACAAGCGGTTTTCAGATGTTGGGTTGACAGTAAGATAGTGGCTAGACATTCTTTTATCTACGACTAGTGAGTTTGGTGTAATTTATTTCAAAAGATTGGTTATTGAACAAAGAATATTCTTTTTGATAAATTCATCATTAGGTTCTACAGTTATATATTGATATGGCCCTCCATCCTGTATACAAATTCCCCTACTCCTCGTTATTACATTTGCATTAAATTTTGTCTTCCTGTTTAAACGTATTTGTTAACTTATACACTTATTTTGTAATGTTGGTGTTCAATTTGCTGTTACAATCATACATATTACCACATACATGTCTTTTGGACTATAATCTATACTAACAGTCTATTTTCAATTTGGAATTTTGATATCAGGGACTCAATGGTACCTTTGAAAAACACTTATGTCGTCAATAACAATCATTCTTTCATTATTATGGATGTATAACTGTAGAATCTAATGAAGAAGAGGTTATCGAAAAGAATACTCTTGGTTCAATAGTCATTCTACTTTAATTTATTTCTTGTTGTGAGATCTAAAGTAAATAATAGTAATAATATCGAGCTATTTATTGTTTTGTATTCCAGGAAAATTTTGAAATTACTACATTACGAATTGATGTTGTCACAGATGGAAGACATAGTAAAGTTTCTTTTACAAATGACTGGAAGTTAGATGCTGGAAGAAGAGATCTTACAGTGAATTCTATGTTTTTAAGTGTTGATGTACACGGACTAACTGACCAGACTAACGAAGCAGCAAGTGATATTTCTCAAAAAGAAAATGGTTTAATTAACAAATCACAGAAAGTATTAGGATATTTATGGGATTATTTTGATGGTCGTGATGATTTAAGAAATCGTCGCATACGATTTGTTGGGGATCCAGACGCCAGAATAAAAGAGGATTATTTAAGAATATTAAGATATTTCCGATTTCATGGCCGTTTGGCAACTGAAGATACTTATGATAGACATGATGAAGATATTCTAAAAGTATGCATAATTGTTTGGTTAATATTTTTTGATTTTAACTCACTTCTAGTGTACCTGTAACATGTATTTCTTTGCTTTACTTTCGGCACTTTTTAGTAGTATTTTAGTTGTGTGTAAATCTATGCATTAGTTTTTATTCTAGCTACTAATGAGGATACGAGTAGTAGGCTTGAGCAGTCGACTTTCAGCCAATGGATTCGAATCTCACTATGCTTACTTCACCTTCAGCAATCGGGTAGTATGCCTCTGTACCGGGTAACTGAGTTCTGACTAAATAACTAACTATTCCAGTTGTTGTCTAAGGTATATGGTTTTTGAATATTAGTTAGTAGCGATTTGACTAGTTTCAAGTTTTATCATGTATTGATATCAGTTAGAGTTCCAATAAAAAATCAGGGAGCACTGGAGAGATGTTTCTCCCTAGTTTGGGACTCTTCAGCAATACTCTTTCACGACACCACTGTGGATAGGACTTTTAAGGTGACAACATGATCTTGTTGACTAATCAGCCAATTGGTGGTTCATTGGTAGGATGCTCACCAGCTTCACGAGAGTTCGGATTTCGGCTCCCCTGTGACGCGTTTCTAGACCTCTCCGGTAGTAAGGCATCGAAAAAGACAAGGTTTGACGTTAGGCTAGCAATCCCATCTCTTAGAAACAACTACTTAGACTTCAAGGCCTGAGGTCCTGCCCTAACTGGAACGCAAGAAATGGAAAAAGGGTTTTTTGAACATAGGCAGCTATTGTTTTCGCTTTAATGCTGTTCTGAAGTTATCCTACAGAAAATTGTGTTTTCGTTTTAAACAGGTTATAGCATTAAATGCTGATGGTTTAGCAATAATATCTGGTGAGCGTTGTTTGAGTGAATTGAAAAGGATTTTATTGTACCCATCAACTCCATTTCTTTTACGTCGTATGGCAGATGCTGGACTATTTGTTCATCTTGGTCTACCTGAGAAACCAAATTTTGAGGAATTGAACAAAATTTGGAGTAAAGGCATTTTGTCTACCTTACCAAATCCAGTCACTTGTTTAGCTGCGCTTGTATCTTCACCAGATGAAGTAAGTTGAATTTATTTGTAAGGATCACATGTATGTATGTTGCTTAAAAATTCTAACCAGTGGTAGTACACTCCACACTAAGCCTAACTATTTCGACTTTACAGTAAACCATGTAGTATGTGGTTTGGTTTAGTTTAGTTTATAACTCTTTACAGAACAGTTTTTCTCGCATTATTTAGCACGATACCGTCTTGAAGTTAAGACAGGAGTGAGATAAGGCTATCTGCTATCATTGAGGATATTTTCTATAGTTTGGTTTGTAAGGGTTAGTTATGTTTTTATGAGTTGACCATGGATTGATATCAGTTAGAGAACCATTGAAAACCAGGGAGTACCGGAAAGCTGCTGTTTCATCCTAGTTCGGGAGTCATTGGCAGTACGCACCTACTGGGTTTCGAACCTAGGACCCTCCGGTTACAAGGCAAGCTCGTATACCATTCAGCCACTGGAACCCGATTCAATGGCCAATGCATGAATTCTAACTTCTACCAATTCGTGATTTAGCGCAACCCCAACTATTGTCTTTGGTGGGACATCCATCCACACACGTGACATCTAATTGGACCTCATTGGTCACGACTTCTCACTAGAATTCCGGGAAACTCCATCCTGTAACAAGTCACCAGCGAGCATCGATGATATTCCTGGTTTTGATTCACTGGATTATGCCGCATACTGTAGGGCACTAGAAGTCAGGCATATGTTGGGCCAACAAGAAGACTCGGGAAAGTGTCGACTTCGCGGATGCTTTATGTTTAATGCCATACAAACTAGAAGATTTACAGTCGAAAACTAACAAGCTGATGGATGAGGTGGCTAAGCCAAGATTTCAAGTGAAAACAGAGAAGACAGAGGTGATGAAGGTACCTGACCAACCGATAACAACAAGCACCAGCCACTATGAACAGGAAAAATTCAAAGGAGATTACCACTTTCACTTATCTAGACGGCATCCTTTCAACTACAGGTGGAGCGGATGAAGGTGTCAAAGCGAGGGTGGAAAAACAAGACAGATATTCATCAATCTGAAATCAGTACGGAAATCTACTGCACTCAACTTAAAGATTAAAATTCCAATTTTCAACACCAATGTTAGGTCAATTCTTCTATATGGGTCAGAAACTTGGCGCATCACAAAGAGCGTTCCCAACAGACTGCAGACCTTCAACAGGTGCTTCCTCTGGCTCCATACTGAAGATCAGATGGCCAGAAAGCAATGGCATCGAACCAACGGAGAACCTATTGCTCAACAAATATGCCAAAGAAAATGGAGATGGATTGGATATACATTGGCGAGACCGTTGAGTGACTTCACGTACCATTGCTTCGAGTGGAACACGAATGCGAAATGACTAGTTGGGCGTGAGTGCGATTGTGATATGGAGGAGGTGAAAGCCTATGGTCAGTTGTGAAGGCGGCTGAAAAGGACTGCAGAGAACAGAATAGAAAAGAGATGTGCTGTTAAAGCTCTACATTCCCCTTGAAAACCAACGGAATAATAATATTAACATTGTTACCTTTGTCTGTTAGAATATTTCACCTTGTGGTTGTGTAGTAGTATTATCATATCCTTGTGTGTCCATTACTGCACTATCTGTTTGTCAAAGCTTTCACAAGAAAACAGAAAAGAATTCATAGTTGGGCATGGATTTGTTGTCTAAGTGATAATTGATTTGATGAACAGCCAATTGTGTTTGAAACATCCGGTAAATAATACTGTTCTGCTGTGTGTGTGTGTGTGTGTGATATCCAATAGATAAACTGATACGTAAGTGTAAAGTAGTTTCTTTTTATATTGTTGATAGATGGGTGTCTCAATTTCTTTGTCGCTCTCCAGCTTCTCATTGATTATCAGCTAGTCACAACCTACAAATAGTTAAATATATTTAATTCTACTTCTGCTTTCTTTGGTTTATATATTTTAGGCTGAAATACTAGAACAACGCCTTCATCTCTCCAATATTGAATTAATTATTCTCTTGTATATATTAAAGAAACGTGATCATTGTGCTAGTTTATCGGATGAAGAAGAAGTTAAATTTCACGAAAAGGAGTATGTGCTGTCACAAGATCCTAGTAAATTGAAAATAGCTATAACAGAAATGTTGAAATATTTAGTCAGGGATAAAGCATTAATTGACAAATGGATATCGTGGCAACCTCCAAAATTCCCGGTTAATACTACTGTGCTTATTAATCAATGGGGTTTACGGGATAAATTGATTCGACCGGTTTTATTTAAATTACGTGAACAATGGTGTGAATCGGATTATCAGTTGACAGCAGATGAATTATTGAATGATAATAATAAACAGTTGGTTATGAATCTTTTAAATAATCATTTGATTAATACACCTGAAAAATTAACAGGAAGAGCTAAAAAATCGAAAAGATGACTTATGCATTAGTTTTGTTGATCTAATTTATGTAGATACTTGAAGTGTACATGTATTATATACATTCTTTAATTTGTGTTCTTCTTGTCTTATAAAAATAAACTACTTTTAGGTTCACTTACTGAGAATGAAAGAAACTCGATTGTTCTTTAAAAGTGTGATTACATATGATGAATAAACTCTGCCAGATTACTTCTATTCACTGTCTTTATGCCACATTGAGTATTTTCATAAAAGTGCAAAGGAGGGAATTCATATTTTCAGAGCTCATCTTCAAATTGACCGGTACAAAGAACTGAGAAACTGATTTCAAATGAATGTCGCTTAATGGCTCTAGGATCCGAAGAAAGCAATGAATGCACATTGATTGTATATTGCATACATCTAGTCCTTGGTTTTGATGCTACTTGAATCCTATCAGTCAAGTCTGCAATATAGTTATCACGCTAGGTTGACTGGTCATCGCCAGTGTTATCCTGTTTTGATCATTGTTAACAGCAAGAATGTAGAGCCTAACATTGTTCCGTTACTCTGGGGATTAAACTTCAACTCAAAGAAGTGAGGAATGATCTGTTAAGTCAATCACCTACCTATGTTTGGGTTATTCGGAGCTTATCTCAGCTATTACACGGTAATCGCAGTGAGAATTTCGAGTTTCTAGTGTGATGATACGCCGACCTCCGAATTTTTCTCATTACAAACTGCATACTCATTTGTCTGAGTTATTCCAGTAATGTAGTTTGTTGCATTCTTTTACATGCATGCAGACTGTACTACTTTTAAGTCTTTTCTACTTGTATTTCCATCTGTATTTCACTTAGGAACTTGTCCTGGTTTATCCCTAGTCTCCCTCAATTGTTTTGATTCTCTAGGCAGTCGTTTCCCAGATAGTTGACCTCCAGTGTTATACTAAAAACAACTATTCTGTTTTGGTTCTTTTTTAAACTTGTCACCTATTGTATTTGCTCCTTTATGAAGTTGGATAACAAATTAGTTGGGCTAGAGAGTGTTGTTTTTCAATCTTCCATGGACCAACGAACTGCATACGTGATACATCAAATCAGAGTTATATCATCAATTTCGTAATCTTGAAGGGAACAGAAACAGTCGGAACCGTTGAAAGATAGATTACCAAGTAAATCACGTTTGAAACTAATAAAATATGACTGCGTTTCAATGAGTGTTCAATTTATACGGAGTATTTCTGTCGGCGTTTTTACCTCATATCTCTGTTTACTGTCTCTATTTTGTACTTATTTTTACTTTCTTCCCTTGCTCTGTGTACTGCATAGAGTGTGGCGACTCGAACTGCTGCACATCGGTGTAAAGTTCTATATTGAAACCATTCAGTCAGTCGGTGTTTTTGCTTTCTGTATTTGTAGCAAGTCTTCAGTCTTTAATAAGTTTCTCTCCTGTTCATGTGAATTTTGCTGACACAGTACATACTACTTAGATGTGTTCTTACCAATAGGACACACTACAACTTCAGCAAAGTGATATGAAGGTATAAATGGATTGGTAATGGGTTCAGGCTCAGAGGTATATCATTTAGGTGGTGGTCAGTGTTGATTGGATGAATGCAGGTCAATTGGCAGCGAAGGTGACAATTTATTTGTAGTTGCCACCAGTTCTGGTACAACTGTTAATACTTGGGTATTTTTCGTCGAACTTGATTTGATGGAGCCATCATCAGACATCCATCCTGTAGTCAGTCACTAATGAGCACCGGATTCCATACAATTCTCCTGCGCTGATAAACTTGAATAAAGCGGAAACCACAAGTTTAGCTACTTTTGATAAGTTCGTTTTTTGTTGTTCCGCAGATTCGTACTAACTGCCTACAACCTGCATAAAATGAAAATGTATACACTGGAACATACTTTTGTCAAGTGCCTACAGACAGGAAATTACAGGTGGTATAGATCAGCGTAATGCGAATAATTAAAGTAGACGGAGTTGTCAAGTATTAGGAAAACTGGGTTTTTTTAGGGTCATTAGACGAATATTTCTGGATGAAAACAACATTTAGAATATGCTCAGAAATAACCTTTAACGAGAGGTTCGTATGTTATAACAGATAACATAACTGCATAAAATATGTTACAAGAGCACGAATCGTAAGGTAGATAATATTGAGAGGAAAATAAAATTTTGTAAACGAACAAAACAAAGGAGGATTACATGACGTAACAAAAATCTACACACTTAATGTATTTCCAGGGTTAGGGTATTGACCAGTAGTATCATTTATTTTAGTGGAGCAAACCTAAAGACGGCGCATGGATGGAGCTTTGTCGTGGAAAGTCAATCCTCTGAACGTAATAAAATTACTATAACATCTACGACTCTACTTGCAGATCCCTTCCACTAAATACTAAAAACGTAGTTCACATAAGAGCGGTTGGTAACAAATGTAAGTAACTGTACTTTCTGTTAGCACGAGCACCGAATTATCTTTCCAAAAAGATATTGTAAAAGGAAGAAAGTGCTGTAAAAGTACAAAACAGAAAATATTTTCTTATCATTTTTATTAATCCTTAAAAAGTAGTCGTGACTGTAAAAATGCGTTGAAGCGCTTAGACTTAATTCACTTTTCATTCCCTTTGGATTAAAATCAATATACGGATGAGATTTATAAACAAGTATTGAGGTAGTAATTGGTTGGAGATGGCGGAATCCAGGATGCGCATACTGTCTTCTTTAAAACTCTCCAGCTCAACCCATCTACATCTTCAGTGAGTAATGAAACTCAAAAATCAACGCTGTTTCAAACACCAAAACGTTGTCTATATTGGACCATAGCATTCACCTTTTTAGTGCATTGGGGAATCAGTTGTTATTTGTTGAAGTTATTTTGAATTTCCCGTTAATCGATTTTAATTACACTGAGATAATCTGTCTCTATGCACAAATCTCTGCTGACAATTCGCACACAGAAGAAATGCACAGCCTGGATTCTATTATTAGCCACCGTCAACCAAATAGCATCCTGTTAACTTTCAGACATTGTTGAAGAGTCCATACTAGCAGCTGACGTGTCAGCAGACATTAAGAATTTCAGTCTAATATAAATCAGTCAATGGGAAATGCACTGGGCTACATTATACTAGCTGTCCTCCTTACTCTGAAGTTAGTATTACTGTACTGGTAAATGGAAGAGTGATGATGATTCAGACTACAACTTATTATTAATCTGTAACACTATAACTAAGCCAGAATATAATATTATTTTACATTATCACAGCTGTTGTCTACTTTCTTTTTAGCAGGAATTCTAACTTGTTCAGTGGTTTAATACGCGTGGCTCTTGACTAAAGTAGCTCACATAGTAAATAAAACGTGTTTAATCAAAGTTGTAATTTGCGTTTTAGTCAGCTAGTAAGGTGTAGGACAGTAAGAAAGATTGTGCATAGAGAGTAAGTAGCTATTCAGTTGTTTCTGTCGACTCAAATGTGTGTGTGTGTGTATGTTACTAAAGCACCACTTGCATTTCTATGCTTTTGGCAATGAGCCGCACCTATTTTCTCCGGGCTAATAATCCTGTCTAGCTACCCAGGTCTGATCCTATAACCCCGTGGTTCGAGGTCGAATGCCTAAACCAGTGGGCTATACCTCTGCATCAATAGACTAGTGTTTAAGTCATCAGAAGTGAGAAGTGTCTCAGTCTGTTGAATTTGTATTTAATTTTATCATCTCCAAGATTTGAGATGAAGAGTCCCAAACTAGGATGAAACAGGTGTCCTTTATTCCCTGATTTTTAATGGTCACTTGGTGATCAGAATTTGCAATCGCTCAGATTCTTGCAAACCAACATTTAGAAATACATATTTTGATGTTCACTAGAATTTAAAGGAGGCTATTGTGGTTTACACAAAATTTTTGAAGCTTAAATTATTCCATGAAAATTCTTGATATCTGTGGCATGGGTATTCATAATTCCATGTTACCTAAAATGGTAGAGAACTCAATGAAGGTAAAAAAAACCAATAATTCCAATCTGTTAATATTTATACACTCGACAATTAATTGGGTGGCCTGTACTATTACACCTATACCTCTGTATCGCGATATTTGATGGGAAAACTGTATTTTAAAAATGAAACTACTAATAAGTAGTGTGAGCATTATCACACATATTTGTTTGGAAATCAAGACAATGATTCCATATTCCTCACCTTGTAGTTATCATTGCACGGGACTGGGGTTCTCAGTTTCACTCGGATTCTGTTAAACGGGTAGTAGTAATAAATGTCTTTTTTGATCAGTGGAAATGGTGGGTTTGTGTTAGTCTGCAGGATAGACAGTTCCCTGATGCCTTTAATTTCAGTTTAAAGTTGCGTGACTGATGATTTCTAGCATTGAAGTCTTAGTTGGGACTCGATAGTTAGGCATACGTTCGCCACAATGACTTGACGTATTACGCTGATGAGTGATGAAAATATGAAACATTGATTTAAATTTTTTTACCCTATATCATGGTTTTCACTAAATAGTCAGGTAGAATACTAACTGAGGACTTCAGCACAACGTTGTTTACCATTCGGTAGGCAGATTTCACCATTTTATCAGTCACAGAGACTTATCAGCTGACTCGTGTCTCGAAGACTTTCGCCAATGGGCAACGTCAGTCCTGATATCGACGAAGAATAAGTTTAATTTTCTGTACTCTAATGTTTCCATGTCGACGGAGATGTTTTATCACACAGTGGTTTTGTCGGTCTGCCTCCCAACCCTCCGTCTTTCCCGGGCTTAAGACGAGCTAATATATTAGGTGAGACTTTACTGGGTAAGCAGTATAAAGTGACTGTGGGAATAAGCTTTGAGTAATCAGTATGCACCTCAAATGTATGTTACTTCTTTTTACAGAGTACTTAAAATTTAGGAGGTTAAGATATGGTGTTTTTAATCACACAAACTCAATGATGGGTCTTCGGTTACTTTGGTAACGCAGACTAGAAGGTTTTCTTCGTTTAAGTTCCTTTTATTGTCATCGGTATGGCAACGGCTTGTCAACGAAGAGATGAAAACACCAGGTCAGGCAGACAGTGAAATGATATGCAGATAGCTGTTGACTACTTATTTACATAATGAATAGGAGATAATCTCTGTGACTGATGTAAAATTCAAATCTGATCAGTGCTTATATTAATTCTGAATAGCACCTACACCCGCAGTCTTTACGATATTACCTTTTCTATTTCAAAAGTATTACATTTTAGTTACCGTCTGTTTTCTTAGAAATAGACTAAAGGAAATATGAGCATCGGTAGTACAGTAGCACAGTGCTCGCCAACAATGCACTTCTTAACCTCGTCTAGCCGGTAGTAAGCCCTGTTAAAGAGGGAAGGTTAGGCGTAAGGCTAGAAACTCCACTCCGTTGAATAGAAAACACTATAACTACTGGAACTTCAAAGCTCATGTTTGACGCCACATGTTTCTCAAAGGACACAAAGAAATACAAATAAAGAAAGTAGTACTGCGAAGGTTTATAAAGGTAAGTGCAGCACAAACGCAAATACTTTAAAATGTTATGCATATGTGTATATTGTTTGCAATAACAAGCTATTTTTCTGAAAGACTACAATAGCGTTTAGTAGACAAAGAAAAGAGTTTCTTTATCGTTAGACATAAGCGTGAATTATGGTTATTTGTGAAACTATGGGCGTGTTTAAATGGTAATGACAGTTACTACTTTGTACTCTAATCTATTCATACATTGCATTTCCGCTTCAGAAATATAAGTACAAGACGGGTGATAGTGTCTTAGACGTAGTAAAATAAAAAATTCCTTTTAAATTATTAAAACAGATTGTAGGCAAAAACAAAGGGTAATAGAAATTTACCGACAGAGGAATAAATGGGATATGTAAAATTTACTGAGTCATTAGGATAACATGAATATATATTCTTTTCAATAAACTCTATAGTCTGAATTACCAATTTGATTTACTAGATAGTACACAAAGGCTTTTAAAAATTGCTTTTTTCTAATGAGAGAAAAACCTAAAATTCATCTGTGTATAAATATATGATTCAGTTTCATGGATGTCACTATATACTTTAAAGCGGGTTATCATCAGTCATGCCTAGCGTTCTTATTGGAACAAATAGCAGAAGTGACAAATCTGTCCATTCACTTCTCTGACATCATATTCTGCTGGCTTCATTCACTACTGTCTACAAGCTTTGAATTCCTCTTTGCATCATCTGTTCTATATTACCCTCTCATCCATGCCCGATTCACCTATTCTTAAGCGTTCTAGTTCTACTCAACGGCCTGCTTGAGATGCTACATCATTCAGTTGTCTCCTCAGTGTACTTGCAGCCTATCTCCATTTCGTTCTATATATATTTTTTTAGCTAGTAGGGTGTTAGCCGGTCC